ATTCCAACGTAGCATCTTTTTTAAAGGGGAGTCAGCCAAAAAATATATTAATTTGCATTTTCAAAAAACTTGACAAGCCCCAAAAAATTGTCCAACCCGAAAATCCTATTTTCAAATTCGATCAGTCCAAATTTTTTTTTCAGATATACTACATTGTCCTCAGTGGAATACTTCAACAAAAAGTGGGGGTAGGGCTGTACTTTCAATGAACATTACCTTTTCTATGGTGAAGTTATGTCTCGAGGGGGGGGGTTACTGTTATACTGTCCTAATCAATCAGGCATTTTATACATTTTAAAACACGGTCAAACACTCATTGTATACTAGATATACATTTGAGATAAAAATGTATTACATCAGGTTTGCACTTTTTTCAACATGATAGAGTTAACACAATATAAAGTATTTTTAGATCAAAAGAAAGATGACATAAAATAATATATCCACATCACGGTAAAGAGTTTTGACATAATTGAAAGTTGATATAATATACAGAATGTTCAATTCTGTTACACACTTTTAACACAACGTAATAAAGCACTGACATGAAAGTAAGATGTGTTCACCTCACTCATGATGCTTTTAAAGATAAATCCAGATGTAATAATGCTTTGATATTAAAAATCTCAAAAAGGAATGGATTTTTGACTTCATGTAATCATAATATTTAATCATAAAACACAATTTACTTGAAGTAATGCAATTTTGACCTCACATATTAAAGAAATGAAATGATTAAAGAATACATTATTTCGCGAAAGTTTTAATCAATGTTAACACATTATCACTTCACATAAGGAATTTTTTATTGATTTTGAAATGAAAGTGTAAGGCATCAAAAGCGGCATGGGTTTCCAAAATTCATAAAAAATTGACATAACGTAAAGTATGTTCACATCAAGATCTTTTAAATGCATGTTTATGCTACAACAGTGATGGCTTCCATTTACTACCTTGTACGATCAAATATTACTGAGATTACAGACTTCAACATACTCTATAAGTTACCTCGCTTTTATAAGGAAGTTTTTTGTGCATTTAATCAGTGTAAAGCACAAAATCAAATAAGCGCATCGAACCAACTTTTGCGTGAAAATATATGGTTTAATAAGGATTTGAAATATAAAGGAAAAATTATTTATTTCAAAAATTGGATCGAAAGTGGTTTTAAATATGTAAAAGATCTTTTTGATGAAAACGGACTCAAATCACTCACAGAAATTCAGAAAAAACTTAACAAAAAACAAAACTATCTTTGTGAATACTTAGTAATTAAAACAATCTTTAGTAAATGGCACGGTATAAATTCGAGTAATACTTCTTTCATCAATATTAACGACACATGTAATTCATTTTCCTTTAAATTTCATGATAAAAAAGAAAACATTGAATACAAAACATCAAAATTTTTCTATAAAATTTTGTTGCAACAAAAGTCTCAAAAGCCAATTATGGAAACTATATGGTCAAAAGAGTTTAATATCAATTACTCAAATCAATGGCAAAACGTATATAAGGAAAAAATTAGAAAAATTTTTGATAAAAATGTTGCTGAATTTAATTATAAACTAGTACATAATTTATTACCGAATAATCTCTACCTTAGTAAATAGAATAAAGATATTGATAAATACTGTCCAGTATGTCGCAGTGAAGAGAATTCTAAGCATCTGATTTTTGATTGCATTCAAGTTAAATTAATATGGAACAAAGTCTCTGAAATCATAGGTATAGATATTAGTTGGAGAAATATTGTTGTGGGTTTTAGTCATGGTATCAACTACAATACTTTTGTTTTGAATAATGTCTTATCATTTATTGCTTGTAAAATATTTAAATATAAAATGAAATGTAGAATTATGAAAAATAATATTACAAGTGAAGACATGTTAATCTTTTTGAAAAATGCTCTTATGAAATTCTATTTAGTCACCAAACGATCCCTAAGCATCACATACAATTTTCATATTTTAAAATCTTTGGCAATAAACTTGTAATTATTGTATGTATACATTTATATATGTATGATATAATCTATATATGGTGTATATGAGGGTGACCTGGCCCTCTATACATGTTGCTAAGGGGTGTGTTGGACAGTGTTTTTTATGTATTCCCCATAGCAACAAAATTTTTCTATCTGTATAAGTACTTTGTCAACATACAATTTGATTATATCATACTCAGTCTATTGATTTAAATACCTGTTATATCTTTCAAACATATATTATTTTGCTATTGTCAACATACCATTTGATTATATTATACTCTATTGATTTAAATACCTATTACATCTTTCATACATATATTATCTTGCTATCTAATCTAGGGAGCCCCTGGCACCCCTAGTGAGGGTTATTATAGGGGGACATCTGCGGATGTCATTGCCCCAAATCTTTGTTGTCATATTTTCATGAATAATAATAATAATAATAAAAAAAAAAAAAAAAAAAAAAAAAAAAAAAAAAAACCAATATTCGCCAGATCTTTGTCCGTTTGACTTGTTTCTATTTCCAAACTTGAAAAAATACCATTTAGAAGGAAGAAACAAGTCCAGAAAATCATTGGATCTGCCATTTTCCAGTATACTAAGGGTCATACCCAAAACTGAGTTCTAAAACAATCAGAAATTGGATAAAAAATTTTACGGACATATGTTCTAATTAAAAGAGATTAATAAGTTAAATCATGAAGAATAAATCATTGAAAAGCGTCTTTTGCTTCTTTCTGAGCACCGGGGACATTATTTATTGGACAGCCCTCGTATATTTGTTTGAATCTTACCAACCCGGAAGTAAAGATATTTAGTAAATATACTTGAAGTGAAAGAGTTCTCTTCGACGAGGACTATTCTTTGATACTTAACAAAAGCGATGAATTAGGGGGGTGTAAAAATCCAATCTGACGAACAAAACTGATAAGAATTTTGGAAGATACCAATGCTGTGTTTACTTGAAAGATTAATATTATTGATAGTAATTTTTTTTCAATACTTATATATCTTTTCCCGCACCTTTGTGTTTAATAGGAGTTGAAGAATAATAAGATATGTTGCTATTGATCTTCTTTTGTAATCTCACTGGGATTAATAAAACGTAGTGAACCCCAATCGTAATAGAGGAACACATCATAGATATTTACGTACATGCTGTCATTACGAGATGGAAAAAGTAAATGTAAAGTGCTTTTGTAAACAAAGGAACATGTCTCCTATCTAGACTTTCTGATTTTCCTTATCCTTTTAATGACATGAGCTGATGGATTAAATCCTTCAAAGAAACTCTGGAACTTTAACACCTGCAGTTGCCGTCCATTCAAGATAACACTAAAATTAGTAGGCCTACGTGTTTTTACATTCTTTCTCCTTATTGGCGGATATTGATTTTCTTTTCAATTTTTGTAAAAAAAAATTATGCTAAAAATCGGATCAAGAAACCCAAGAACAAAACTTTTTTAAATATTATAACTAAATAATTAATACCAATATCAATAATATCTATGCACAATGGGGGAAAATATGTTGAAAATATAAAAAAATTAATTTACCACTAAAATAAAATGATTACTTGCCAAAAGAGCCCAAACACACCACAAAGTATTTCTATGAATTTGATTCATTGCATTTTACAAAAAATCAAACATTTTTTCCCTTAATTTTCCGTTGAGTATGGTTTTTGGATTTTTTGTACAGCAAATAAATGTTACTGCTGTTTATGTAAGCAATGTTTATCACTAAGTGCTTATATTCATAATATATATATTATATAGTGGAAAATAATAAATGGTTATTAGTCTCATCAAGTTTTATCACAGCGTCTGTTTATTGCATAAAAATAAACATCGCATTTCACTCTAACTTCTTCGGTTTTTTTGGCCCGTTTTTTTTATGAAAGACATTCTGCCATGCTGTCAACAGACTTTTTTTTTGTTATAATTTTCTTATACTAATTAAACGCAAAACTTCATTCAATATTACTAAAAAAACCAACTGTTGAGTCTGGTCCCGATGTTTCGTTTAAGACATTTTACAATAAAAGGACATGGAACAAACCAGCAAAATCTGATGAAAAGATACATTTAATGACGTGTAACATACTTTCTATTCTTAAGTGACAGCTTTCTTGTAGTCTTTAAGTTTAATTTAACTCAGTAAAAAAATAACGCATTCAATTACTGCGATATCATTGTATTATGTAAACTTGGTGATTAAAAAGTACCAATGGGTTTTCTGCATGTTGCAAAAACAGATTTCAATTTATTATGGGATTTTTTAGATAAGCTGTGAGGAATTGAATAATTCTACTTAAAAGTAAACCAATGTATAATATATGTTTTTAATTTACTATGTTGCAATGAATTAAATCGAAATATAAATCGTCGGCTGTATTTGCTATTAAAGAATTTTCTTTTTAAGATTAAAAAATGGTAAGGCAAATGATTTACTTTATATCCAACATCTGTTTTAAACGAACGATTTTTGTGCTAGACTTATCTGTGTTTAATTTGATTGGTCAATGCAGTAGTTAATAAATAGAAGCGGTCGTCAGTTGCTTCGATTCTTATAGTACATCTAAAAAGGTAAGTTCTCAGTTTTATTCAGTTATGAATTCTATATTTTGCAGTGCTTAAGTTTGCAGACATAGGCATAAACCAACAACAAGTTGCAAACAACAATATTTATTAACGTTTTACTCGCATAAAGATGTATCAAGAGTTGTCTTGTTTTCTGTTGTTTTATTAGATTTATTATAATTATTTTTTAATATTCCTTTTTCAAAAAATATAGGAGAATAAATATACGATAAACAGATTTTTTAAAACTATTATATTTTGCCATTATAATGCAAAATGTATCTTAATGAGTTTTTCCAACACAATAATATAGCTAAAAATGAGAATTTAATCATGATGCCCAGTACAATTTTTTTTTCATCTGTTGTATTTCATGGCTACCTAAACTGAAAATAAGATGTCCTCAAAGATTATTCTGTTTCAGATTTTTTACTCGTTGACAATACATCTACAAAAAGTATGGAATGAGCTCGACACTCAACCCATAAACAACAAAATGTCTTTTACAATTCCTATCACCTTACTCTGCTTTCTCAGCTTAGGAGTACATAAAATCTGTACTCAGAATATAACAACGTCACTGAGGAACAGAACTACAGCGAAAACGAGCACTAGTACTACAGCTATGGTTACAGCGAACGCCATAAGTAAATCATTTTATCAGACATTTTATGAAGACTTTATACATGTTCATACCAAATTCTTTTGTTTTTTTGATTAGCACTCTTTATGAGATAAATGAGTGAAAAACTGTTAAGGCTATCGTAATCTGAAAAATTATGTGTAAGAAACTGAAAAATTGAAATAAAAATTGAAGGAGTTTGAGTGCATTGAAAAAAATTGGCTGTGTATAAAAGTTTTATGATAACATCATACATTTCAGAGCTTGCTTATTTTAAAAATCAAAATCAAATAGAGTTAAAAAAAAAAAAAAAAGGAAAAGCCATAACGTTTTCTTAAACCATCATAGACTTATACTAGTATTTTTAAATAAGGGCAAATGATACAAATATGTTTTTGTCTTAAGTGAAGACTTAATATCATTTCTCAGGTATAGAAAAGTAGATAATTCTTGTATTTTTTCTCCTAAGACTTGGAAAATGTAATAGACGTGGAAAATTTCTTTAGGAACAGTAACAACATCCTAACATTTGACCTTCAATCTTAGAGTGTTAATTTTGTACATTGTATTGAGAAAGTTTAACCTTAGCCTTGAGATGCCACTTTTGTGTTTCAAAAACACATATTGGTTTTCCAAGTTAAGTTATTTGAAGAAAAAAAATATGTTCAAAGAAATAGATATTTTTACAGGATGTCCTTTTATTCTAATCACACCGAAATTCATATCGATCGATTTCGGGCAAAATGCAACATTTGATGTAAACGAAGAGGCTAAAGTACAAGCTGCTATTGAAGCAAGGTGGCAAAAAAGACAAAATTATATCATCAAAAATGTCAACATCTCTGATATAAAATACAAAGAAACTCAACTTTTACACACACCTACCCTTGTCGTCAATAACGCTAGCTTTGAGGAGGGAGGGTACTATCGGCTTCAAGTTAGAATCATCGAGGGATGGTGCACAAGCGATTGGGTTCGACTGATTATAAGAGGAAGTGAGTATATATAAATAGAAATATTATCTAAAATTAAAAAGAATTAAAACTTTTCTTTTTCAAGGTATTAGTCTGATATTCATTAAACATGTAAAATATTTACGAATTAATTTCATTTTCATTCACTTATTTTCTCAATCTTAAGACAGTTGCTAAATAAACTCTCATACGTTCTTCATACAAACAAAAAATAATTTCCATCTCAGAAATAAATAACCAAATGAAAAGGAATGCTTACACACTTCCCTCAAAACATTTTTTCCAGTATTGAACTACCGTCCTTATGCTCCGAAATTGATTTAGAATCCTCCCGCAAGGAAGTCGTGCGTATGACTTTTATTAGAATTCTGAAAAAAATAAAAATGAGGTTAGAAATGCCTCTGGATTCACTCGTGAATCCAATTAAATTATCAAAATTGTTATATTTTACTCAGGTGATCTAGAAGGCAAATTGGCCTCTTGTTTTACTTATTTGTCAATAGCTTGCTGCGTTTTTGAAGAAAAAAAATTGCATTTACAAGAACCTGATCTCCTATTTGAATGTTTTCTGCTTAATATAAAATTCAGAAATGATCTGTTTCAATTCATTTGAGCATTCACACAATCCCTCAAGTAATAAATCGTAGAACTATTTGACTGATCGACCTTATAAGTACAGTACATTTGGAGTGCGAAATTTTCAATATCGTTTTAGTTTAAAAACATTGTAATTCTTTACATTAAAAGCTTGCGAGATGCGATTCCCCTAACTGTATTGAAAAATTATTTTACTTCACAGAATCTGGACCAAATCCGATATTTTTAACGTATGCTTATCTCTAAGCTTAACATAACGAAAATTCTTCGAATGGGATTTATTTTACTATGTCAATTTTTGTCTTTCATTTTTTCAATTTTTTTTTCGTATTTTGTACGTTTCTAAATTTGCTTTTTAATATCTATAAATTAGAAAAGTCTCTTCTTTGATATTCAACAGAGCTAAATAAGTTTAAATTTATTTAGCATGCATCAATATATCTTTAGAAGAAGCTTGCAATTCTGTACTAACTAATTCATTTATGTTTTATCATTATTTTCAAAAAATAGTAACGATTTGTATTATTCAGTACCTAAAATTTATTATTGTAATGAAAATGAATATTTATTCAAGCTAAACTACTTTATATATATATATATATATATATATATATATATATATATATATATATATATATATATATATATATATATATATATATATATATATATATATATATATATATATATATATATATATATATATATATATATATATATATATATATATATATATATATATATATATATATATATATATATATATATATATATATATATATATATATATATATATATATATATATATATAAATTCATAATTGTCAACTATCATCATCTATTGATTAGCAAAAATTTAAAGAACACAGGTTCGTGTCTTGTTTTTGTTTACATATAGAAAATATCATATTTATAACAAAATAAAGTCAGCAGATCAATAGTAAATGTGGAATCGCACTAAAGATAACTTTCATATGAAATTAACTACTTTGAACGAACATATACTTGTATATCAATCTGTGTAAATAAAACATGACACGGACCATGTTTACATAACAAAGGTCTAGAGATCTAAATCTGTTTTGTATCTGTACAACTGTCGTTCAAATTTTTGATGATCATTAGAAAGACGCTGGTTAAATATTTGTAAAAATGGGGGGGGGGGATAAATTTTGAAATTTAAGCTGAAACTGTGTCCATTCCCCCTTAAGGCCTGAAAACGGGAAGAAAAGAAAATACAGCGATTTCATCAAATATATAATTTTTTTTAATTTTCAAAATGACTGGCCTTATCAGTGTTTATATATACGTGTGTCTTTGTAAGCGATTAAAAATATTTTAATCAAGGTGTTTCTTTTCATTATGTATCATTAGATTTTCATAAAATTGATAGCAAGAGGTTGAAATTTGAAATTATTCTACATTCATTCAGTTCTTAAATACCATGACCAGTGTAATCGAACAGAAGAATGTGACCAGAGACGATATAATTTAATGTGTTCTTCGGTGTACAATGAATGCCTTTGCAACAGTGGTTACTATCAACGTAATCAGACATGTTTTTCGAGTGAGTAGTGTTTTTCAATCCTACATGCTATATAATTAAATTTTGCTAATAGAGGTTCAAAGTCCAAAACATCTGGAAAAAAAGAAAAGAAATAATAATTAAGGTTCTTTGTGTTCTAGGATATTATTTAAGAGCACAGGTCAACGACTACAACTTAACAACACATGCTATAGAAGTAACTTGGAGAAATCCTTCCAGAGATTTGGACTTGATACAATCTTACAGCGTTGAGCTGAAGAGTGCTGAGAAATCTACAATAATCAAAAATACATCTGTCGGAAGCCAGACTGAGTTCAAACTGCGCTCAGATTTTGTCCCCGGTGCTGTCTACGTGTTTACCATAATATCCACCGTGTTACTCAGTGATCCAACAGAAACTATCTATGTTCGCTCCCAAAACAGATATATCGTGGGTACGTCCTATCCGTTGGGTCGTGAATACATCTATTTTTTTATGCATACTGCAAAGAAGTATTTATCATTCAAAATATTAGTGAAGCAGATACATGTATCAGAGAACACTTCAAGACAGATTTTGTCTCACATGTAATTTGTTTTTCTTTGCAGAGCCACTTCCTCCTGGCCCTATCAATAGAAAAGTCAGTAGCTTCCACCCAGAGAAATTAAACCTCACTTGGTCTGTTCCAAAAAACAATACCCGTGTTTATAAATATATAATCAGAATTGATAATAAATATGAATATGCATACTCCAATTCAATCGTCTGGACAAACAGACTAGATTCCGGTAGAAATTACACAGTCAGTCTTGTCACGGTCAGTCGAGATGATTACTACTCGTATGAAAGGAAAGAGAGCGTTCCCTACCTGGAACAGATACAGACTTTACGTGAGTGTCAATTTCTTCTAAATTCCATGAATTAAGGCAAGGGTTGTTTCATTTTATTAAAGATTTTTATGCTGTAAAAGTGGTCATTTACGCGTAGGAAAATTAAAATGTTTACTTCCGCGGTAATCATAAAACAGTGTAAAATACGTTTAGTCACAGAAATTCTAAGTTCTGGGGCCATTCAAGACTACATCTGTATAAAATATTATTTTGGTTAGACCAGTCGAACCAATCATTCTACATTATTTAATCACGAGACTGAGAATTTATATAGGTCACAATAGTGATAAAAACACAAAATTAATGTTCCTCTTTTCTGAATTATGCAATGAAAAAAAATCATCTTCATATGAATTACGAGGATGAGTAAAACGTTTCTGAACTTACTGAATTACTTCCACAAGAGAAAAAAACCGTTTGTTGTGTATCTTTTAAAAAAAGTGTTATTTTCAACATCTGCAACCGATCTGCCCTTGCGCGAAAACAGTTTAGGCGGTCATGTGACATGTTCCAACAGCTGAAAGACTTTATTTATATAACCATGCAATTCATTTTTTAAAAATCGTTATTTTGTCAGATATGGCGCTAGAATGAGTGGATAGGATATCTTTTACCATTATAAGTGTAGCGACCATTACAACTAGACTCTGCGGGACTAAAGCAAAATCCGTGCAATTAAGCGTAACTATTGGACTTTGGACACTTGCATAAATATATAGCACTCCAAGGAAAATACACACATCGAACTATTATTTGTTTGTTTGTGAATTGTTTGTATTAATTTAGAATTTATTTTTACTCTTTCACGCGTGAAAATCATTTGAACTTTTCAAAGGGGACCGACGTGGTGTTAGAATCCATGGCCACTGAAATTTTTCTCGGTAACACGTGCGAGACCATAATATCCATGCCTCATGCATTTAACCTTACATTTGTTAATATTATGTGCATTCGGATATGAGCTAAATTCAAGTAAAATCATAAATGCTTGAACGACAAAACACTCTATATTAAACATATGCATATTGTATTGATAAATACAATATACCAAAACATATTGTTTGGTAAATGCAAATCGACATTTTATTACCTTCGTATTTTTTAAAAAAAGGTACACCTTCATTAAACATTTCTTCGGATGAGAACCCGATCGTACCATTCCTTTCTACACTGAATATAGCAGCTGTAGTTTTAAATAATCCGGACTTCCCACCTGTTACCGAAATCAAGTGGCAAAAGATCAAGAATGGGATTACCGAGGATATAGACACGACAGAAGAAAGATACAGAGGCAGCTCGCTTGATTTCGTCAACCCTGTTCTGGTTATCAACAGAGTGGACTTCGATCTTGACCATGGCTTTTTCTACAAATGTCTTGCACTTAACTCAGACGGATGGGGATCAAGCCTGAATTTCGTTAACGTAACTGTGACTGGAAGTATGTGATCTTAGAAATTAATGTTCTAATATTAAGGATTTTATAATTGTTGAGACTATACTGTAAATAAATGTAACTCTTAATTGATTTTAAAAAAGAATGAAATAAAAATATAAAATAAAATGCAAGAAACTTAACATTATATATTATTAAAATATGTTATTATATCTGAGCGTAATATAAAATCTTTTTACAGGCCTAAAGTTTTTGGAGCCTTGCAACAAATCTAGGGAATGCTTACCAGACATTGGGTTAGAGTGTCGCACTGAGCAATGTCTCTGTCATTCTTCTTTTTATCATAAAAATTCAACTTGTTATAATAGTAAGCTTATTAAGTGTTTCTTTATGTATTTGAATTGTTATTTAAGACACATATATACTTCATTTTTGCAGACTTAAGGTAATAAAATATTCACATTTTGTTTCAAACAAAAGGAACGCGTTTGATGCCCGATTCCATTCAAACAAAACCTTCAACGTGTAGTATTTCTATTGAATGGAACCCACCCACTCAGGACAAGAAGATGATATCAGGCTATGAGATAGTCCGAGAGGAAAATAGTTTTGGCTATTGGATGTTACCGGTAAACGTTGCCATTGGAAATCAGACAAAATACAAATCGCCATGTATTCTTCAACCTGGGCGCCTTTATAGAATCAGTATCAGGACTGAAGTTAACTTGAGCGACCCAGATCAGACTATCTTTATAGATACCCCCTGGACTGAAATGATCCTAGGTATTTTTTTCTGAAAAGTACAGCTGTATACCGTCACAACATGCTATTATTTGATAAAACAAAGACAGGCCTATCTATTATAGATGTATTGATTTTTTTAATTTAATATTCATCCTTACAATAAAATATGAATTACATTTATTACCATGTATAAACTATTTTTTCTAGTGCCAATTACATAACATCTTCATAAAATGTAAAATATTGTACAAATGGAAAAGATTTCAAAACTATTTACACTTCATATTTTCTTTGATCATTTTAAAGAAAAGCCTATATAAAATAAGGAATTGATAAAATCGTAAGTTGTTTGATTTTGTTTCTATTTTTTTCTGGAATAGAGCCAATGTCACCTGGACCTCTATCTTCTTCCTGCAATTTTTCCGCAGACAATTTAGTTTTGAGGTGGAATCATTCAGAGAACAATAGCTTTGTTAACCGGTATAAAGTTATCATAGATGGCGACGAACAAATGACAGAGGGGAACGAGACTGAGATTTTTTGGGAGAGACTGCTAAAGTCACATACCTATTATAACGTTACCATAATAGCCATTAGTTATGGGTACACAACAAATTATCCTTCTTATGGGAAGAGGGAGAGTATTCCGTCTGTATATACGATAAAGACACTAGAAAGTAAGAGTTATAATTATATCTTATATGTGTAGTATTATTTAAAATGTTGAAATTTAATCCATTTACATTTATTACAAATATGTTAGGCTACATATTAATAATGGTATTCTGTTTAAAATCATGTAAATGCGTGAACTTCACACTCTATAACATACATGTAGGGGTTAAAAGTCAAGATTGTTCTAATTTTTGTTGTAAGTTATACGAATTTATCACTAAATTGTTTGTGAACCTTCATTGTTCAGAGTAAGATTTAAATTGATTTCTTGTATTTGTCTAATAGGCGCATTGAAACAAAAATATCATCAATCATCTCAATTTCTATTAGCTCGAAAATAAAAAAAAACACAATTTTTTATTGCCATTACAAATATTTATATTCATTCTTTAGATATCACAATATGTTTTCATTGATTTTGAAAATACACGTGTATTAATATATCTCAGGCCAGTATGATGTAAATGTATCCATGCCGTATGGAGATGACGACTTAGTTCTCACTGGAGATGATAATACAAGTCATAAAATACCAGTAGTTCCTCTGACTACAGCATATGTTGGGGACGGAAGTGAGGGAGGATTCGATAATGTCATAGTAAGCTTTCAATCTACAGATAGTTATATACTGTCTAGCAAGTAAGTAGAAGATTGAAAGGGTATTTATTAGTTTGATATTTTGGAAAGTTTAATAAAATTATGAATGAACAATAGAGGTTATGTATTACAAAGGGTAATGAATATGTAATTTAATATTTAATTTGTTTTTTGATTGCTGGTCTGTTTCGTGTTGTTCTTTTTTCTTTGATTTGCTATGCTTTTTCTTTCTTTTGTACCTGTGACTTTAAGGACATCGATTGTTTGTAAATATTTTTACTAAATTAGTGTTCCCATTTTAGATAAAATGTATAAAATAAGAAATATAATAAGAGATTTAGAGACCTTTTTCCATTTTGCAAATGGTTCGATTTTTCTTATCTTGTTATATTATATGCAATGGTTTAATATTATTCAGATTAGAATTTTTAAGCGCCCAAAACCATTTATTTATTCATCTAAATTTTGAAATTAATGTCTTTTATTTGAATGTCGACGTTATTGAAATGTTTTATAAACTAGATATTTTGATATAGATAGGAACCAATGGTATTATTGGACTGAACCCAAAGGGAGATAGCTTTAACAATGCAGGAAATTTTGACAAAAATTATCTTAAAAGGAAAGATACACAGATTATCTGTCCCTTTTGTACGGATTTGACCTCAAACACTTCAGGAAAAGTATACTTTCAATCATATGAAAGGTATTTATGATATACACTTTTGAAAATTATAACAACGTTCAAGTAAACGCATGCAAGATACTAACTTTATTAACTCACCTGAGCCGAAGGCTCATGTGCGTTTTTCTGATCGAAATTTGTTCGTTGTCTGTCGTCGTCGTCGTTGTCAAATTTTCATCCTCTTCTCAAGAATTACTGGGCCTCTGGGCGGATTCCAATCATAATAAGTACAGAATGTCTCTTAGTTAAGGGAATTTAAGTTTCTTTTCAACAAAATGAAAGGCAACACCCTCTACCAAGGGGAAATAATTACGAAATAGCAAAAATGGCATTATTGAAAAAATCTTCACAAGAACCAGTGGGTCAAGAAAAATGGAACTGATGTTGAAACACTGTCAGAATGTGTAGATTCAAGTTCGTTCAAATGATGACCCCGGGGGTAGGACGGGGATGAGTTTCTCCTCAAAAACAACAAATCTATGATTGGTCAAAGTTTTACATAGGAATATTTAGGGAAAAAAACTTCAAAACTTTTCTTCTTAAGAACAGCAAGGCCATGGTTGGTAATATTTATATGGGAGCATCCTCAAATAGTGTATATTCAAATGTGTTCTAATCTTAACCCCCAGAAGTAGGTACATTGTAGGACCAATGAAAATTCAAAAATGTAATGAAAACTTACAGTAAGTGAAAAAATATTTAAGCATGAGTTATTAAGGACAGATGATACAAACAAAATTTTGTATAACATTTTGAAAATAACAACTTTGGTCATGTTTTAATGATTAAGTTAAATAAGTTTTACCGCGTAGTTTTTAAGTTTTTATTCAAAGTTGCACAAAAAATGGAATTAAAAGTGAAAAATATTTGTATAGAATAATAAGGATGGTTTCAAAAGGGTAGAATTTAGACCGTCACAGAAGGTTTACAATGTCTTTATATTCAAGCAATTTATTATTTGAATCATTTGCAATTAAATTAGGTCAAAAAATATATACCAATCCAGGCATTCTTTTTTGTTTGTATCATCTGTCCTTAAGTGTAGATTCAATTTTGTTCAATTTTCTTTCCCTCTATTTTTAGAGTTTAGTTGGAACCACTTATGCATTTATTTTAATGTGTTCACTTCAATTTTTTCAGTTAAATTTATTAACTAAGATTATCAAACAAAATGAATGTACAATCATTCTACTACTAAATATTTCAGAAAAAAGGACGAATTCTTACAAAATGCAAATAAAATTGTAAAGAAATATTTCAAGGACTTTAAGAATTTTGAAGCAACCTGGCTCGTAAAAGTGACATGGGAAAATATGTCACTTTATGGACACGACTCAAAGGTATTGATTTTGATACAATATATAAGTAATGTATACTTTATAAAATGTACCCTTATTGTGCTCTTTGCTTATCTACAATATCAAAAACTTTTACACCTTTTTTTATATCTTGGTAAAGATTAATAAAAAAAAAATAACTTTATATATTCATGTTTGTACGTCAACCCTTCTCGTCAGAGTAAGCATCAATTCATTCGGCAGTTTAGCCAAGGTTACCACAAGATTGAGTTAAATGAAGAAAACCAATAGCTTCAGAAACATTACTTTTGTTTAAACAAGAATGTTGAACAATTGCTTTGCTCTGTGGTTAAATAAAATATTGACGATACACAACATTAGTTGGAAGGCATTAAGAAATTTAGGAATTTTGACAACAAGAGATGGTTCAAATAATTTTTCAAATTTATATATTTTTCATTTCAAATTCAATTCAATACAAATGCATGATATTAATATTATTTATTATTATACACAGATACATCATAAAGTGTTTTTTTTTATTTTAGAATGTAACTTTCCAGTGTCTCTTGATCTCAGATGGCGACAACACATTTACAGTAATGAACTATTTGGATGTGAATTTGACGCGTATTAAAGACCGAAAAATTGTTATAGGATACCGATATAAGAGCATTCTAAAAACAAATCCTTATTCCATGAAGGACGGAGCTTTTTCAATGAGCAGAAATCCTGGAAATCAAGGTTTTTAAAAAAATGTCTTTATATCTTAAACATACATTGTTTGAAACTTATTTCATCTGTTTCCTCTACCTTGATCATCTTGTCACAATGAAAATTTGTATATCAAAAATTGTTTACTGTCGTAGCATTTGTTTGAAAATATCAGATGTGCGCTTTCATTCAAGAAAAGTGTTTTAAGGGGCCACGACCTTCTGCTATAAATTTCACTTAGAGATTTTGAATTTTTAATATTGATTTTCATACACAACAATAACAATAGAGCCACATGGACAATAATTAGAAGTATGGAGCGCTGCTTATTTTCAGAAATGAATTTTATGTCAGTTCATGATAATATGAAGAATTTTCAACACAGAGACAGAAGATTAAAAACTTAATATCACAACATAAATTCAAAATATGAAGTGTACTTGAAATTAATACTAACTATCATACAGGTACTTATTACAATCATGCTAGAAAACCTCATAAAGCGCTGCTTCCACCTCTTATGGCACCTGATCCCACCTCTGATGTTTCGGAGGTCCGTGTTTGCTCTGCTCCTATTTTGTATTTTTTTATGGACATTTGAGCTTGAATACTGTTCGTTATTTCCATATCCTTCTTCCAAAGTCAGAATATCACAATGTTGTATGTGGTTGTCAGTGAAAAATACATCTGCAAAGAGGAGTTACTGAGTATCTAAATATTTCTTTTTTTAAATAAGTAATACTGATAAAAATTCTGTATTTTGTCAATCTATAAGGCTTTTGAAATTGGATTTTAATGTCCTGTTTTGATCAAACAAATTTTGAAGATGATCAAACAATTTGGAAAAATAATTCCGAAAGAAAAAGATATTTCCATCATACGTAATATTTCACCAAGTTGACTATTCTGAGGTATCAATAAGAAAACTTTGCGTATTTTTCATATTTTGTACTTTGAAAGTTATCTCTCTTATCAGAGGGTTGGTGCCCCCAAAATAAATTCTGTGTGACCTGATACAATTTAGAGAGCATATAAATAATCTCATCCTGACAAAGACTATTACTGTTAAAGCTGCTCTAAATATGTACTTATTAATCTATGTAGTGAATGCTTTTGATTTTAAATCTCTATGTGATATTTCAAAAGCTTTTGACATTACAGTTTTTTAACATTGTGTCATGAAAAGACAAAGGCAATGACGAAAAATTAAAAGGAAATCTGTTGTCCGGAAATTCAATATTTTACTTTGGTTATAGAATTTATTTCACCCATGTTACAGTATTTTTAACATTTTAACTCGTTCTTCGCATTCGTAAAATTATTAGAAGAAACCCCTTTTCCACTCGGAAATTAAATCAATTTGAATAAATAAAGTCCTCATCTATTTATTGAACAAAACATAATGTTTCTCTTTTACTGTACAGTGTTGAAATAACATTCTTTCTATTATCCAAAAGGAGAGCCTGGTGTGTGGGTATACAAGTTGACAAAAGGTGTACAGGAATTAAGAGATAAAAGCGCATGCACAAATTGGCATAGAGAAAATATGAATTTTGGACAGATGAGTATGCCATTCATTGAATGTCCTTGTGACAAAAAACTCCTCAAGTTTGATCCGCGATTCGCAATTAACAGATTTGATAAAGAATACAGACTATTATGTTATGCTTCCGTGATAGAAGGATCCAACATTGTAAGTATGAATAAAAATAAAATTAAAATTCCTTTCATAGAATCAACATACATGGAATTGTCGAATAAATTCGAGCTGCTCAAACAAGAAAAAAAAAAGACTCAGTAACTTTGTAACAATTATTTCTTTTTATTTTGAGGAATGTTGCTATAATATGTACGCCAACACAAAGCAGTTAGGACCATTACAAAGAGCAAGGCCAAAAGCTGGAACCTTACTGCAGCACAATCCATTTTTTCATCGTAGTGAATACAAAACGTCTGATGAAAAACCAAAACAACAGTGTTGTAGTTCACGGCACTGTGACTGGTACTACGAAGACCGTCCTATTCCAAAATGCTATGTGAGGTCTCCTTTCCATTCGGGTAATATTATTAAATTCTATTATAGATAAAATTCCATATAAGGTTCCAAATATTACTCCAAATTTCCTTACCTTTTCAGAAAAAAACAAATTCATATTATTTTTATGTAATTTTCTTGTCTTTAATGCTCTAATGTTCTTTTATATAATTAAACTTCTGTTGTATTTTTATTTATTATTTCAAACAAGCTACATGTACATAGCATTTGCAATTAAACAAGAGACCGGAGAGCCTTAACGGTGAGATTAAAAAAAATTGTCAAGGATCGATCCACAGAAGTATTAAATAAAACAGAAATAAAATGTTGGACGTTAGTCTGTTACATGTAGTCATTGACAACTGTTCCATGTTAAAACAAATTTATTTTCCTGACTGTTTCTGTCCCCGTTCATCACTCTCACCGTTCTAACTAAACAATTAAACATGTTTCAGCATTGTTACATGCAAATTGTATTCCCTCTCACACTGGTCTCTCGTACTTTCGCAATGTTGGAAAAAAAGCATATTTGCCAATAATAGCAATGAACTTAGTGTGATAGTTTGCTCCTCTAAAAGCAGGAAAAAAATCTTCAAAGAACAGAGAGGATCTATACAAGTTCAATATAATTATGATTATTATAAGAACCCAACCCTTACACCAGAACCTTTGTGACTGGAAAAATTAATCTCACACTTTTGGATGAATTTCCATATGTTTCATGAACACATTAATATGGGCTCACATATTTTGCTATTTTGGAAGAAGTTCTCTTGTTCATTTCAACCATGCATCCGGTATACCAGGGGATGAGGAAAATAATTATGCATTTCCCAATATGATCGTTAGCCAATTCAAAAATTAAGAATATCAATGATTTGGAATTAAATTTTTGTACATGTACATATTATAACTTTCCTTGAAGGAATCAACTATGGGGATCCCCATATAACTACACTTGATGGTAGAGACTACACATTTAATGGATATGGGGAATACGTCATGATGAGAATAAATACCAGCACTACATACTTTGAACTTCAAGCTCGGACAAGTCTTGTTACCACAGAAAGCGGAAAGATTATCAATGCTTCCATATTTAGTGCCTTTGTGGTAAAAGACCAAACAGGTTCCAAAATACAGATCCAAATGTCCAGAGACAAGAAAAGTAAGATAGACATGAGGTATTTACCAAATAATGCTTATTTTAATACTTGTAAGAAGACATGCTTCTATCTAAATACTATGCATGTAATATATGTTTTTCAGTGATGGTCATATTGGTGAATGGAAAAGATTTAACCAATAAATTTAAAAATACCAGCTATTCAGTCATGACATCAGATATATTTTTGCAGTGGGAGAAAGACAAAATTTCTGCTTCATTTTTGAAGTCAAGTAAGGAAAAATGAATTACTATAAAAATGATTAATTTTTTTTAAACGAATGAAAATCAAAGTATTGAAAGTACGAAAGCCCTCATTTAAAAATACCAGCTATTCAAAAGCGGGTCAACATTTGATTACATCAGAAATAATATATTTTTAAATTACAATGCAAGAAAAAGTGTTATATATATTGGAAGGAAATTTAAATAATTAATGGATTTTTGATCCGCAAAAAATATTTCAATTTATATTATAGATTCTTAAATATTAAATAGATTACATATTTCTGTGGTCGGTTATTTTTGAAGTAACATTAATATAATAATCTATTAAAAAACGGTCTAAAGGTTAAAGAAGAACGCACAATAAACATAAAATTACTTAAGAAGAATGAGGTAAATATTTCATCCAATACTGATTTAGAAATTTAAAAATGTATATTACACAAAATTTTATACTTTCTCTTTATTTGTTGTACGTATTTATTTTAAAATGACGTGTACATATGTACATATAGAAACATTTTGAAAAAATGGTTAAATGTTAATCATTTTGATACATTATTTCACGTTTTACAAGTGCCAAGAATTTTCCCGCTACAACTCAAAGAGAAGAAAACTGTAAAAGTAATTTCTCAATTTTAGGCATACCAACATATTTTTGCATTTTTATTAAAGTAAACTACACTCATATCTAGTTGTAGATTACATTAAATTTCAGTTTAAAACTTTTAATGTAAAATACACTCAAAAGTTGTTGACGCAGGAACCATAATACTGAACATGCATTATATAATTAAGAAAATCATGCAATGTCGAGCACAAGCTTTTAATATCACGAGGATATATATTAAAAGATAGATGTAAGATATTTTAAAAACAGATCACCATAGTCTTTAGTTGCTTCATAAAACGAACATTAATTGGTTTGGGCCAATTTTTGACGCTTGCGTCAATATATGTTTCTTGTCTTAATTTTTAGAAAAACACAGGAACACCCTTGATATTGAACCCCAGGGCTTAATTCTCTGTTATGTGTAGCTTTACAATACGAAAAAATCGCTGGCGTAAAACCCCCAGAATAATCCCTCAACCAAAAAAAAACAAAACAAAACAAAACAAAACAAAAACATTATTTATTACCCCACTTTACAAGAAAGAATGCTGTTTACGGAGAAAATTTTGACATGATGCAGAGTCAGTCCGATAGCATGGACGAAGACAGAAATACATTGTATATGTAGAGACAGTGTGAATCGAGATTTAAAGTTAAAACAAAATAAATGCATTTAATTAATACCAGTGGGGGTACAACGTAAACAGACTGGAGTGACATATCCTTCTCTTATAATGTACATAGTGGGTATTTGGGGGGGGGGGGGGTGTTGAGCGATTATTCTGGGGATTTTAAAATTTTTTGTTATTGTACACATGATGAATAAGTTTGATAAATATAACTTGTGAAAAAATGTCCAATAAGCCCTAGGGTTGAATATCAAGGCGGGAGAGGTGGTTGTCCATAAGTACCTGTGGTTTTCCTTTGCACAAAATTCAAGTTTAGTAGAATTCAAAAATATATATACTCCTGATATGTGAAATCTATTTAATATTTAAGAATCTATAATATGAATAAAAATATTTTTTGCTGATCAAAATTCCATTAATTATTTAAATTTCCTTCTAATATATATAACACTTTTTCTTGTATTGTAATTTAATGAAATGACCCATTTGATATAATTATATTGAACTATTTCTTGATAGTAAAAACATGATAAAGGGAAGTAATCAAATGTTGAACCCGCTTTTGATTGGTTCGTTTGGATCTTGAATCTCGAAACTCGAATTTTGAATCTCGAATTTCGAATTTTGAATCTCGAATTTCGAATCTCGTATTTGGAAACTCGAATCTCGAATGAGCCTTCTGGGCTTTCGTATGAAAGACCTGAAAGCCGTGCATTAATTGCTCGAGTACTAGTACATGTACATGTATATTGTCTGATCCGAAATTAGTGTATATTTATTTTTTTTCCTTTGGCCATTGATTTTTAACATGTAGAGTTTGACGTATGATTATGATTTAAAACAACATGCCATATATCAGTAATTAAAATTAACAATCCAGACCCCAAGATATGTTAGGATTTTAAAATTTAATAAATAATATTTACATGATATTCTCGCATATTTTCTATTCAATAAGCATTATTTCTTATGATTTAAAAATTAAGTCTTGGAATAGTTAAAATAATGCACATATTTATTTTATAGACATTCTTTTAGTTTCAAACAAACAGTTCTTGTATCGCCAACTACATGTAGAAACACTAATACATGTACATTGTCAAGCGACTTTACGCATGTTAATCTTAACATTCCAATTCACTTTACTACTAATTTGCTTAAAATTAGAACGGAATATAACTACTATCATAACATCGACGAAAACGATATGAAGCTCTCCAACTATTTCAACATTTCGAAAAGACCGCACTATTGAAAATAGTTTGCTTACAATATGAATTCAGCAGCGTATGTGCACAAATTGTTATATCACGATTATTCCACTAAAGCAAATATCTAATTGCTCTTTCAGTTTACTTCTCTAGCAAAAATATTGATCATTAACTTTTGCAACGATTGGGATGTTAAAAATATTTTTTGTTTGTTTGAATATCGTCTTGCAATGGGAAAATTTTGTTTATCGGAAGCGTCTCCTTTGACGCTGTTTGGATTTTTGTTTACTGTGCTATTTATAGTAAGACAGTCGATCATGATGCCTAGAGCCAGGACTTTGCTTTCAGCAAAGCCCGGCTAAAAATGAATGTTTTGATTATTTCATTTCAGCAATAACTGTAAAAGTAAGTCTAGGCAAAGGATTTTTGATCTGTGAAACACTTGTCAGCAGGAATCATAAAGGAATGACACTTGGTTTAATGGGAAATTTTGATGGAATTAAGGACAATGATTTCATTCTTCCAAATGGAACACAGTTATCTGAGAATTCTACTAACACAGAAAGAGGAATATTTTACAACTTTGGACAACAGTGTACGTGAACTATCATTGCCTCAATTATTTAAAATAAACTTCCTTTACTTTTGTAAGGCTTGTGGCTTGAAAATAGGAAATATAGTCATTATATTTTATAAACGTTTTTTGATTGAATACTTACAATTACAAAAAAAAAACTGCTCGACGCTTTCTATTAATGAAAGATTCATGTTCATTATTGATATTCAGTAACAACAGCCGGTAATATAGTTCAATTTAGAAACAGAATTTGAACTTTCTACTATCATTTTGTTATATCCGAAATGGATTTGTGAACTTGAAGACTGTTCGTTATATATCTCCATATATTTCACTTTCATGATTTATTTATAAATAATTTGTTTTAAAGTGAAATATATATTCAGATAACAAACCGTATTCAATCTTTAAAGTCCAATAAACAGTACAAATCAAGAGCAGAGCAAACACGGACCTTTATAATACCAAAAGTTAGATCATTTGTCATGGAGAGTGAATATTCACAACTGACACATACGCCATTTGCTCTTTGATATGATCGGGAAGTAAATGAAAACTTCGTCGTTAAGTCAGTGTTTAAATAATAGTCAAACAATTAGTATCATACATGAATTTAAAAAAACATCAGTCAGCATTTGTCTAAATGATAGATTGTACTTGCTGACAAGGTCATTGTAAAGACCATATAACTTACGAAATGATATCTTTAAACAAGAATCCTGATATTCTTGTTTCATCAACTTGTTTGTCAATAACTTACCTCGTTTTAGAAATTGTCCATCCACACAAACAGTATGATCTTCCGTATAGAATCAACTGAGGGATGTAAAACCCGTATGCGACTGAATAAAGGTTTATTGCTGCATAAGTAAACAAATTTCTTGATGTAAATGTTAAATTGAAGTTGAATGTAGTACAAGCTTTCTCGCCCATGTAATTTTTCTTAAACCAGAAGATACATTTTCTGATGAAAGATTTCTACTTTAATCGATTTTATGTCATTTGTTTTAAAGGGTTGGTTAACGAAAGCTCGCTATTCCTATATGATGATGACATGACCTTTAGAAATTTTTCACATCTCGATTTTGTTCCAATATTTACTGATGAAATGGATGCAGATCGTCTAACTGAGGCGAAGACAAAATGTGGTCCAAATCCTTCTACAGCCTGTATTTCAGACTATCTTGCAACAGGGGACCTAAACCTCGCATTGTCATCTGGAAAAGAAGAAGAAAGCTCCAAAGCAGACATCGCTATCATACGTAAGTTTATTTCACACAATAAATATCTGGTTGATATTGCAAATGGTTTCAAAATTTTGATGTTTTGGTTAGCTCTGTATACTTTGTTTCATAGATTTTCACTCTTAAAATTTTCTTTTATTAGAAAATGAAACGCCACAAATATCTGGCAATGCCACAATAAATGTTGAAATCAATAAGGAGGTTGATTTGATGTTCAACGTCTCTGATGATGGAAGTCAAAGACCAGTGTTCAAGATTTTGAATCAACCTGGGAATTTCTTTTTTGATAATCAAACTGGAAAAGCTAGATGGACTCCAACCACTGATGACATAATAGGCATCAGGTATATTTTTCTGCAATATATTTTGAATAACGTAAGGTGATTTAAAATAATTATCAAGATATGGTTTCTATGAATTTTCAAAATATGTTGGATTTGTTTTGTGCTAGTATCATCGCAGAAGATGACATTGGTGCTCAATCACCTGTATTGGATGTTTCAATCAATGTGTGTCCTGGATGTGGAGATCATGGAGAATGTAATTATGATTCAACTACTCCAACAGAAAACGATCAGATTAACCAAGTCGCCTGTACTTGTCAAACTGGGTATTCCGGTAAGTTTTTAAATCATAAAAATGTTTCAAGATTATAGATATTACTAGTCGTCATTGAGAAGAATGTTCTTTTTGTAATTTCTCAACATTTATATATGGTTGTCGGCAATACACTGAAATCGACATATTTTCGTTTTTAAAAAAATTGTCATAGTTTTTTCTCCCTGGCTTGACTTTTTAACTAGATTTATGTTATCAAATATCAGAAACTTGAAAATAATTTACCTATTTTTTATATATACACTGTAGAAATGTATAGACAAAATGTAATTCATTTTTAAAATCCACCCTTAAAATCATTCAATCTATTAACAGAATGTTCCTATAGTTTCTCTAAAAGCAATTGTTTAATGTACATGTACATTTTATTTTCAGGTGAAATGTGCGAAAAAGAAACAGATGCATGTCTACAAAGTCCTTGCTCCCTTGGTAGGGACTGTATTGACCTTTCCCCCGAAGAAGAAGTCAAGTTCGGCCGTGGATACAATTGCTCAGAATGTCCCAGTGGTTTTAAGGGAATTGACAACAAATGTGCAGGTTATCTGAAAGTTTAATAATTTATTTAGTGTATTGTGTAAATGATAATAGATTCCATTATTTTTAAAAACATTTACACATGTTCCTACATGTTTCTTTCAATTAGATATTGATGAATGTGGTTCTGTGTCGACCAATCCATGTAACTTTGCTACGGAGACTTGTGAAAACACAGAGGGAAGTTATATGTGTAATTGCATCAGTGGTTTTAGAAAAGTTAATGGCATTTGTCGAGGTGAGTACTTGTGCATCAAATTTATAAGCCATGTTTCTTTTTTTTCTTTTATCCTTCAGATATATTTATGCTGACAAATGTATAATTAAAAGAAAAGTAAATACTGTATGATGTTCATCAACCAGAGTTTAAGTGAAACTATTTGATGTATATATACTTGTATGTCCAGATTTCGAGTGTTGAAAGTCCATGGAAGAAACATGTTTCAATTTTTCATCTGGGTTTTCAACCATGAGTTTGCAAAAAAAAAGTTAACATAAAAACTATTTAATGTAATCTTTTAAAAAAGTTATACTTGTATGATTATTTTTTTTCAGATTTTATTGAAATTTAAATTTTCAGAGTGTTTAGAGCAATATTTTCAGTCTGGGGAGGATGTGAACAAATTTGTCATGAAAATTAACATTTATCTTTTTTTATTGTTTCAATGTAGTTGTCATCTAGGTTTTCTTCTAGATACGGACATGACTTCCTGCACAAAAAGCGGTTAACATAAAAACTTCATTTTTCTAGACTTTGACCATCTTTCAAAAATTTTTTGGTTACCCTCTCCTGTTGTGTATGAATGCAAAATATTGATACTATAATCCAGAAAATTCAGGCTAGCATTTCGAAAGCGAAACAAACACACAATATATTTTCCGTGCAGTTCCAGGAAGCGATATACTTTTTTATGTACAAAAACTGTGTACAAACACGAATTTAAAATTTACCATTGAAATTTAAATTTTAAGAGATAAAATAATTTTCTTCTCATTAATACACAACCAATATTTTCAGAATAAATTTCCGAGTGAAAGTGCCAGGAAGTGTCAATTAAAGTTGGTTTTAATAACTTGTCATGATTTTCAATGAATAACACTTATCTTTCTTTATTGTTATATACAAGTCAGATAACATTAACAGTTGATTACTGAGTTTCATAAAAAGCTATGAATCCAAAGTTCGTCAAATTTATTCTATGCAAAGTAATTTTCAGCACTTAGATTTCGTTGTTTAGAAGTTGTTTAGAAATAGAATTTTCATCTTATTTTTAGCTTCTGATCCCTGTGGACACTTTGACAAAAAGTGTGGATATTCCTGTGGTAATATTAACGGAACCTTGAAGTGTTTTTGCCCATTAGGGTATGAACTAGCTACAAACAACGTAAATTGTAAAGGTATGCGTATTTTTCTCTAACAGATTACTCCACATTAGCTTCAATTTCAAAGCAAAAACGGAAAAATAAGTAAGGTACCAAATAAATGAAATTTAAGATTTGCTAAATGCTAGGAATTAAGATTTTAGGGGGAAAAAATCCAAGGCATATAGGCTATTTCAAATAAGAGGTACCTAATGGATGAATTACCAAAATCCCTGTTGTGCTAAGACAAAACAATATTTTAAAAAATAGCAACTTCGGCTGTACATACTAAAGTGTCAGTTTCATGCAATTTGTATTAGTTTATGCATGCAATTGATTGAAATATGTACTACATATCGATACGCGTTTGTGGGTTGTGCATAAATACTACATATTAGATAATAAGCAACTTGCATGTACGTTTTATAATTCCAAGAAACATTTTTGCAATTTGCTTTCATGACATGTAAATATGTGCTTTTTATTGTAGATATCAATGAATGCGGACTAACGACTACTAAGTGCGAACAAGGCTGTATCAATAGTAAAGGCTCATTCAACTGCACGTGTCGACCTGGGTACTACTTGAACGAGGACAAAACATCATGTTCAGGTAAAACTCCGTCTTTAAATATGAAATATTCAATTTATTGATCTCGATAACTAGAATTAGAATCAGAAAAATCATTTTATTTTTCATGTTACATTAACGAAAGTACATTTTTTATGCACTTTTTTTTCAAGATTTGACACTTGGAAAAAATAATCTAAAAAAATTGAACCGAGGAACAAAAAAAATATTCGTGAATTAAAAATAAAAAAAAGCAATGAGAAATTTTCGAGAGAAACTGACGTCTCTAGAAGTTGCGGATTTTTCTAAAATGGAAAAAAAGTGTCATTTGATGTTCATGGTAGCAAAGTATGAAGCTCACTGTAGCTCACTCTGTCTCTCACGGTAGCTTAGTTGTTTTTTTCGCGATCAGAACGGGTCGAGACTCGGTCGCAACTGACTATAAAAAAATGAAGACCTTCATCGTATGTGGTGATGTTTCTATTCTCAACTAGTACATTTTGGCTTCCTTTTGGAAAAAAATTAAGTGAATACTCTAGAAATTCTCCGACGGCATCCTTTTATACAGTACAGATGGGAACAAGTGGAGATGGAATAATCCTATATTCTACGACACTCGTGAAAAAAACGTATTGCATAATGTTCTTTGTAGAATGTGTTATGCCTATGTATGGAGAAAACTGCAGTCAGGTATGTGATTGTGGTCCAGGTATGGATAGTTGTGACCCTGTCAGTGGGTGTGTATGTCTGGATGGATGGACAGGTGTGAAATGTGACAAAGACATTGACGAGTGTTCAGTAGACCCATTCATTTGTGGTTCTGACCGAGAGTGCCAGAATCTTGAAGGTTCATACGCATGCGCCTGTGGGAAAGGTTTCAAAAAGAACAATGACGAATGTGAAGGTATATATATTTGTTTCTTTAACATTAACAAATCAGCTATGGAACAATAGAACCTTAAAATGCATGTTTTTAAGTTAAAACAAATATTATTTTTCAGATATTGACGAATGTGCCGATATGAGCCTCAATGATTGTCCTGAATCAACAACATTTTGCCGAAATACGCATGGTAGTTATTTGTGTGAGTGTCAGAAAGGATTCCAGAAAAAGAACGACAGATGTGAAGGTGAACATGGTCTTAGATCTTTAGAGAAGGACCGTAATTTAACGTGTATTTGCAATATTTGTACATACAATGTACAAATGTACATTCTGACACTTTTCCACTCTATAGTGCATGTACTTGCCACTGATTCTAGCACATTGTGTAAATTTAATGTATATCAATACGATATATAAAATAAAAAAACAAACAAACATAACACTATTTATATTCAAAAGATATATTTTTTAGATATTAATGAATGTGACACGGGATTTCACGGCTGTTCCCAAATGTGTATCAATGTAGATGGTGGTTACAACTGCGCCTGTTACTTTGGATTTACTCTTCGAAATGACCGAAAGACGTGCGAAAAAGGTCAGTCTTAAAGTTTTTGGGCATGAAAAAATACCTATTCTATCTTCCCGGATATTAGGTATGTGTACTAAGTTTATGATTTGGGTGAGCAGGACTGGGTCTTATGAAGGTCACGGCGATTGGATCGAGGTTTTCGTTACAGGATACGTTCTCAGTTTCTAGTTATTTCACAGAATAATTAATCGCTTGGTTGAAATGAAAAAGGACTGGTTTTTCAATAATGTGACTTTCACGACCTTAGTTTCTAGAGCTTAACTCCATTGATTATTTAGTAAAATAGGATAACATATATTCTTTGATGAGCTCCTCTTCACCTTGACATTTGTGCGGGAAACGAAATAGACATAGCCCTTATTCGTAAAGGTAATTAAACAAAATTTGAGAAATTATAGACCACTTGATCCACTAGTGCTAATTTTGGCTGTATTGATCATATGACGAAATTTGTACTATACCTAAAAAATTATTCGATATTTTCTTTGACCTAAATTAATCACTGTGAAAATGATTTAATGAATATTTAATTCATAACAAAATATTTAGCTTAATATATGAGCCGTTAAAAATCTAGGAAGGAAGGTTTTCTCTAATCATACATGTAACTCCGACAATCCCACCTCGATCAAATCCTGCAATTTCTCCCAGAATGTTATTTTTCTGTATAAAATATATACTAAAATATATGAGTTAACGGTTTTTATAAGCAAACCGTCTCGTGCAATTATGCAAAAACGATTTCGCAAATAAAAAGTATATAATGGTTGCTACGGGCATCCTATTTACCATATGCTGATCGTTACTATAAAGATTATTTTTTTCAACCATTCTCAAAAATCTTCATATGACGAGCTTTTTTGGAACTTTGAATTGTACACTATTTTTTTAGTAAAGGACTCATGTTCCCTATATCCTGGTCTCAGCTGTAGTTATGCTTGTAAGCAGTCTGGACACAATCCTGACAGTGGCGTATGTTTCTGTGAACACGGATACGAGCTCGACAATGACCGAAACACATGTATTGGTAAATATTAAAAATTTTTCAAACAGTTTTACATCCAACTTAAATGAAATAATTCCAAACCATCTACAAGTAACATGCATCATTCATCTATGCTCATCTAGATACCGATGAATGCAAAACAAACTCGATGTGTGAACAGAACTGTACAAACACGGTAGGGTCCTTTACATGTGATTGTGCAATTGGTTACGAGCTACAAAATGATGGCAGATCTTGCAAAGGTAACTATTCTCTACTTCAAGTAAAAATTCAGACAAGTTACGAAAGGTTTTCTTTTTCTCTCATCAATTATTCTCTTATCAGCTTGTAATGGGTATTTCTACGGAGTGAACTGTGCAACACCATGTAAATGTGGACGAGGTTCCAACACATGCCATCGTGTAACTGGCTGTGTCTGCAAACCAGGATGGAAGGGGGATACTTGTGATATCGATGTAGACGAATGTAAGGATAATCCTTGTATGGAAGAACATCAGACATGTGTTAACACCCCAGGTTCATTTCGATGCGATTGTGGAAAAGGATTTATTATATCGAACGGGCATTGTCAAGGTAGTTGCAACGTCATGGTATCTGTTTGATTTTTCCAATTTTTTTTTTTCAAAAGTTAAGATAAAATATTATGTAAATAAAATTATATTATTTCTTTCAGACATTGACGAATGTCAGAGTCCAACAGCTTGTCAACAGAAATGTATAAATACAGAAGGAAGTTACAGATGTGACTGCGAAGCTGGTTATGAGTTAACCAATACAGGCGATTGCAGGGACATTGATGAATGTAGACATGCCAAGTGCCACGACTGTTCTAATTGGCCTGGAGGTTTTCAATGTTCATGTAGAGAAGGATATGAGCTCAACTCAACTACCCTTTCTGAATGCAATAGTCAGTTTCTTATAATATGTTTTTTATGAATAAAATTATATTAATTAATTATATCAATTATATTTTTAATTGGTTTCCTCTTGCTCATAACAAATATAACCTATAAATAGGCTGTATAGTTTGAACATCGTAAATGCATTAATATGATTTTTATTTGCATATCTGTGACTGTTTATAGATATTAATGAATGCATTGATGGAAGCAACCATTGTTCTTCTCACGCGATCTGCACGGACACTGTTGGTAGTTATAAATGTAGTTGCCGCAAAGGTTTTAAAGGCAATGGACATTATTGCACAGGTTGTTAATGAATACCTCTTTATAATCTCTTGATTTCAAAAGAAATATTTTACGGAGAAAATAATCGGCTTTGTTCAAATTTTTTCTACATGTATTTATACATTTTTTCTACATGTATTTATATATTTTCATACTGTGTAAACAATTATATTTTCAAATATATATTTCCAGTTTGCCAAAATTTTACTTTTGGGGAGCAGTGCTCTGAAAGATGTTCATGCATGAAAGACCAAACCAAACAATGTGATTCTTTGACTGGAGTGTGTCGATGCAAAGCAGGATGGGAGGGAAGCGATTGTTCTCAGGATGTAGATGAATGTAAGGATGGACTTATCAAATGTGACAAGGAGTTGCAGGTTTGTGTCAATGAACCTGCCTCTGCTCATTGTGAATGTCAATATGGAGGAGTAAACCTTACTAAGTGTATCCGTGAGTATCAACTACTGATATAAAGCTTGAATGAAGAAAAAAGATAGTTATGAGGATTTATGTTATTTTTAACATGTTTGAAATATTAAGATATGGTTGACTAAAAATAGAACTGAAAAAAGATATGTTTCTTTTTGAAAAATGCTTTGTCAATGGTTTTATTTTATCTATCATTGCAGTACCAAGACCACCTTATAGTACAAGTAAGATCCATCTTTTTATCTACTATTTATAAAGTCTAATTTTTTATAATATACAGTAAAAGTTTCAGATGTAGTCCACTTCAAATTCATTTTACGTGCAATATTTATTGAATATTTATTGAAACTTTGTATATTCATCAAAACTAAAAGTGCTGTACCATGATGTGGGATAGGTGAAAAAAAAATATTGCTATTTGATTTCCAAAGAGAGACAATCTGGCTTATGCATCACTTTATTTTACAATATGTGTTTTACAAGGTTATAAATCATACTTGTATATTTATAGATGAGACAGAAATAAAAGTAAAACTGGAGGTTAAGTTTGAAACTAGCACGAACCGAAGTGATTTTTTAACACGTACTGTGCAACTTATAGATGAATTCGAGTCCTCGGTATAACTTTTGCACATAATATTTGACATGTGTATTATTTGAATAATTCGAAGATTGGCTATGGAAAAAGAATCAATTCATATGTTTTGTTTATTTTTTTTTTATTTTCAAATAATTAGTTAGAAAATTTCTACAAAAAAGAAAATGTGAGTGGATTTTTCCAAGTGAAAGTACTGTCCATGCGGTATGAAAACATAATCAAATATTCTTAGAATTCTTTGTTGTCTTTTTTTTTTATGTTTTTAACCAAAATTTTATATTTTTCTTCCATTCTAATTTGGTTTTAATTCTCCTCAAGGTTTGGAAGCTTGATAATTGACTATGAAATTATTGGTGACAAAAATGATACAAACAGCTTAAAAGGCGACATCGCCACTGCTATGACAAGGTTACTCAATGGGGAAAGAAAACTACTTGTTTTACACCAGGAACCAGGCGTATTGCGCATCGAAATAAAAGATGACAGTGGTTTGACTACAAAGGGTAAGTTTAAATGCATAACCGAGAAATAAACGGGTTTTAGAAACTTGAAAAAACATAAATAACATTCCTTAGAAATATTACACTTTTTTTAATTGCAGTAATTTCTGCCTCCTCGAGTCCTTGTTTTGTTTTTGGAAGTTTTGGAGCTACATGTCCAGCGGGAAAAAAATGTGACGACTCTACCGGAGTGGCAAACTGTGTGTAAGTATCGTAAGCAATTGACATTTCCTCATACAAGTTTTTATTTGCAATATTTAAAATGTGTACAAATTAATGTCATTTTCCCTCTCTTACAGGATTGTATCAGATAAAGGTAATAGACGCTTTACTTTTATTTATTCAATTTATCAGTGGTAATTGAAACGTAACTGTTACGATATTTTAAGTAATTAAGTCATATTATGTGTTATTTAGAACAGTTTCTGTAAATGATTTAGGGATAAAGTGCATGTAATGAAGACAATGAATATTCCGTGAATTGTCAATTATCTGTAATAAAAATAATATTTACCACAAACTCGATTCTACTGGGAGTACATAAGGATGTATAAAACGTTATTACAAAAAGATTTATTTTCAGAGTGTTTGCTGACTAAATTATTTTAAAAATGTGTTTCAGATATGCGCACTCTTTTTATTGTTCTTGGTGTGAGTTTACCACTTTGTATCCTAATGGTCGCTTTAATAATCGTATGCATTTACCATCACAAAAATTCCCATCTTACAAGAGTGTAAGTATCAAAATGAAGTACCTTTGTTCAGACTAGTCATATACAGGGCGAAGGAAATAAACATTTAAAATTTAGACAAATGAAAAACAATCTGTGTACCTCAAAATTCTCTGGTATGACTTTAGGAGAAAATATATAGCATTTCTAAATCTATAAATGTACTTTAGATAACGACAGACTTTCAGTCTTTAATTGTATTATTTAAGATGAAAACTTTACTTGTATTTATATCTGGAGTACATACATTCACTATTCGCATTTTTTATAGTTTTTTTCTTTTTTTTTTTGGTTAGCTTTTTGTTTTTCAAAAAAAAGGAAAATAATCAGAAAACTATTTCTCAATATCATTTGCAGAATTGATATCATGGAGACAAATTTGAAAATGAAAGAATACAAAGAGGTGTCTTATCCTCCCGGAGAAAAGAAGGGGATCGAAAAGGAATTCGTAAGACGTAAGTGATTTATGAGTAAAAAAAAATTGAAAATTAGAACTTATTGATTGTTTGGATAAAACATGGGCTTGAAAAAGGTGCTGAAATGCATGTATGTAAATATTCATTTTTTTTTTATCAGGTTTTGAAATTTAAAACGACATTTCTTTATCAAACAAAACACGTTGCTTTCATTAAACATTATATTTTTGATCCTTTATATAATAATATAAAATCAAGGTTGTATGTACGTCATTCTACGCAAGTCACCTATGTAAATTATTAATCAGTGGCAATTACATACATAAAATTAATATAATTTTATTTAATGTTCTGATTATTTCTTTGTTTTATTTTTTTAATACTGATAAAAAAATAAAATGCCCTTCTTAGTGTGTTATTTTGCGAATTAACGTTGCAGGAAAAAATACAGGTAATTATTTTATCTCTGCAAAAGCTACGAAGAAAGTATTTTGTTGAACTGAAAACAGTGATGCGATTAAGATTCATAATAAAGTATTTAAAAGATTTAAAACTATTGATATATGTCTCATGCTGAGGAATATAATTACAATAAATATGTCTACATAATCGAATTTTTTTTTCTTTTATTGTTTGAGCTTGTTTTCCTTCAATATATGAAATAATTGCTTCTTATGTTTTAGCTCACCTGAGCAAAAGGCTCAAGTGAGCTTTTCTGATCAAAATTTGTCCGTTGTCTGTCGTTGTTGTGTAAACTTTTCAAGATTTCATTTTCTTCTCAATAACCATTCGGTCAATTTTAATCAAATTTACGACAAAGTATCCTTGGGTTAAGGGGATTCAAGTTTGTCTCAATGAAGAACCTAGCCCTCTTCCAAGGGGAGATAATTATGAATTAATGAAAAATTAATGGTTACTTTTAAAATCTTCTTCCTAAGAGCCGTTGGTCCAGGAAAGATAACTCATGTGGATTCATCCTCAGGTAATATAGATTTAAGTTTATTCAAGTCATGTTTCCTGAGGGCAGGGCGGGGCCACAATGCCTGATCAAAGTGTTACATAGGAATATGTAGGAAGAATCTTTTAAAATCTTCTAGTCCAGAGCCATTTGGAAAGGAGAGATAAAACTTACGTAGAAGCATCCTCAAGTAGCGTAGATTCAAGTTTGTTCATATCATGACCCATGTCGTGGGTAGAGTGGGCCAAAATGGCTGATCAAAGATCAAAGTTATAATTATAAATACGTAGGATAAATCTTTAAAAAAAATCTTCTCAAGATCAGCGAAAACATGATTGATGATATTAATATGGAAACATCCTCAATTAAAGTTTATTCAAATTTCATATCATGAACCCTGGGGTAGGGCGGGGCCAAAATGGGCAATCAAATAAGGATTTTGAGATAAGGAACAGTATTCAATATCAAAGTCCGATAAACAATACAAAATAGAAGCAGAGCAAATATACACCTCCGAAACATCAGAGATGAGATCAGGTGCGATGGAGGAATGAGCATCCCCTGCCAACCGGTCACACCCGCCGTGTGCTCCTTGTCATGACCAGGAAATAACGAAAAAAATCCGTCGTCAATTCAGTGTATAAATAATGGACTAACAATTCGTATGAAAAACGTCAGTCAGCATTTGACTCAATGATAAATTGTATTTGCTGGCAAGGTCATTGTATCGACCATAGAACTTACGAAATGATGACTTTAAACGAGACTGCTGATATTCTTGTTTCGTCAACATGCTTGTCAATGATCAAAGTTTTACCTAGAGATATATAGGAAAAATCTTCTTCTCAAGAACAGCAAAGCAAAGGCAAGCTTGGTGATATTAATATGGAAGCATCCTCAGGTAAATCAGTTTCAAGATTGTTCAATTCAGAATTCGAAGGTGGGGACACAATGTGGGAACAATTTGTACATAGAATTATATACTAAAGTATCTTTAAAAATTTTCTGGAGATCACCAAATCCATGATTGTATTTTTTTTTATATGGAACTAATGAAAGCATCCTTAGGTGGTTTAGTTTCGGGCTTATTCAAATTATGACCCCCAGGGTTAGGGTTGATGTAGCCACAATGTTTTATATTATAACATATAGGGAGAAATCGTCTCTAGAACAGAAAGTTTTAATTAGTCAAACTGACATTTAAGCATCTGCAAATAATGAAAATCTAAATTTATTCAAATAGTGTCCCGGGTGGGGGTGGGGTTAGCGAGGGGTCACAATGGGAGATCAATTAAATATGTTGGAAAGTATGGCAAAATTATACATGTATGCTTTATTGATATAGTACATTCTCAAGTAATAGAAAATTCAAATCCCCCTGCCTCAACAAGTAAATATTTCAATACTGAGCTGATTTGTTTTTGTTTAAGTAGCCTATGTGCTCAGTTGAGCTATGTGGCCTATGGGCCTCTTGTTTGTGTATAGGAATGTCATTGTTAATTGTTATTGAAAATTATTATTTTGAAAACATATTTATCATTAATGTATTTTCATTTTTATTCTGAACAGCTGCATGGGTTTACTAACATTGAGATGACCTGAACTGAAACGGCAAAATGAAAACAAAAAGCAATATATAAACAAAACTTAACACGTTATAATCTAAAAACATTTTTTTCTTAGCAGTAAATCGAAATGATTTTGTAGTCGCTTAAAATATCAAGTCAAATGTAAAATTATATTGTTTAAATTGTAGAGAAATAAATTAATCGAAGAATGCTTAATGGTTGATATTTTTTTTTGAAAGAGTTGTATTATCCAATATTCGATGAAATAAATGTTACGTTTTTATCACTCCCACTCCTGATTGTCAAAATATTAATGAGATAAAGATGCATATGAATATATTCCCTGTGTTTTATTAACTGGCTTTTTTCTCTTCCTCTCATCCATTACACTTGGTCCAACCTATCTATAGAGGTCGGCGTAATACGAACGTTAATTTATTATTTGCAGTATTTGCATTGTTTCTTGAGAACAATTCATTTTTTTTCTCAGCTCTTAAGTGATTTTAAATTAAATTCAACTCATGCTAAACTTTGGAGTTTTTTGTTTGTTGTTTCTGCGACAAAATTATTTTTACTAATTTTTTTTTCGGTTATCACTATTAGCAATGAATGAATCAATAAATTTTACTAAACCGTTGCTCTGTTGTACGAGGGCTGTTCAATAAATAGTGTCCTGAACTGTATGACATACAATACAGATATCATAAGACATTAAGCTTGACTTTCTCTCATTATTGAATCTTTAAAGAATTCGTAACAGTTTATGTGATCACATTTCATCACATGGTTTCATTGTGAGAAGCTGGAAAACAAGGGCTATTCGAAACACTGCATTATAAATGAATGGTAAAGAATGAGTAAACACGAGTGAAAATAAAAGCTTCATTAAAGCTGCTGTAAACTTTTTAAAAATCCAAAAGAAATATTCACTGAAGTATGTGAAATTTATTGCAACCAATGCCTGTTTTACAGACAAATGAGCAGGTGGATTTTAATGATAAAAATTATATAATCGGCATCAAAAATGGGTATTGTCCTTGCCAACAAAAATTATAAAAACTTGTGTACTGTTTGCCACATGTCAACAAATAATATTTGATAATGTATGATTGACTTTGAGAAACATAGCAAATTTGATAGACATCATTCCGGGAGTAGTATACACTGTTTTTAAGAAACGTTTGACGGTGAAAATAGCTTAGTACTCAACGATCACCCTATTTTTTAAAAAATGAGTGAAAATGACAGCATATGCGAATGTCTTAACACTTATTTTAAAATATCAGTTATTGTAGTTATCCACGTTTGTTTGAAATTCATACGCTTAATGAAACTTGAATATATCGCTTAAAACTCTCAAAACAAAATTTACCATAAGATATACTTGACAAAAACAGCAAAGGTCTGACAAGAGCAAAGAATTGCAAGAGCACAAAGACAAATTTATATGCAAATTTCTTTAAATATTAGTGGTATTGTTGTTTAAATGTATTCGGGGAGGCAGTTTAATTTCTGGAGGAGTCTAGAAAGCAATTTTTTAGCAAAAAAGTCGTAAGGTTTATTAGAGGAAGGACCCAGAATCAGGAATAAACTACATTAAATTTCTTCATGACAGCGTCAAAACCCGGACGCTCTGAAAAGTAAAAGATTTTGGGGTTAAACAGAAAGTTAATGTTTTTTCACATTAACAATATTCGCCAGATCTTTGACCTTTTGACTTGTTTCTATTTCCAAACTTGAGGGAAAAAAACACCTTTCAGAAAGAAGAAACAAGTCCAGGAAATCATAGGATATGCCATTTTCTAGTATACTAAGGGTCATACCCAAAAATGAGTTCTAGAAACAATCCAAAATTGGATAAAAAATCTTATGGACATGTGTTTTAATTAAAGGTCAAATATCAAGGAAATAGATATACTTGTATATAATATATGTTGTAAACAATGGTTAAAAAGAAGGAATTACAATATTCGTTTAATTTTAAACCTCGTTGTTTTCTTTACTTACCTGTTCAAATATCGCTAAAAATAACGTTCATCAATAGAGTTACTTCCCCTTTTTGTGACGTCATTAGAGACACTCGACAAAATCTAGCTACATAAGTATAGTAAAAAGTGCTCTTGATTATCTAGAATTATGGCAAATTTTGGAAACAAAAATGTTGATATATCAGCATGATCAGAGTTATGCGTAGATCTGTCTGTTAAGAATAGGCTTTGTATATTTGAGTCAAGAAACTACGCAAATTGATTATTATTCTTCGACCGATTCTGTTTCGTCCGAAGCCGGTAAGGGTGAAAGTGGAAATTAAAATAACACAAATGACAAAGGGATCATTGCAGAAGCTAACGAATGTACATACATGTAATTTGTATTTCATGCCTTTTTGAGTGTGCTCAATATTTCCGCAAAAAATACTTAACTGCGGAAAATTGATTTTATGTGTTGTTTCTTATTCATTATATAGAACCAGGACTTTTACATAGTGAAAAAGTATAGAATTCTTTTTTTTTACAGTGCATAGCCGTTTGAACCGGGCAAGCGGCGATTTTTTTTTATGTGAAGTATACTATAATGAGCAATGAACGGAACAACAGAAATTACGTCATCGTCGGATATATATCATCCGTGGGATTCCGAAGATGTAACTATCACAGGTGCTTGGAACCCCCACCCCCCTCGTTTGTTCCGTACCCCAGTGGGTTTTTTTTACTTTAAAATAATATTTTCTATAATATATATTTATAAAGTATTAAAACCGAAAAATCCAAAATATAAGGGGAAAGAAGGCTAGTTTACGCCTTTTATAAATTCATACCCTCTGATACTAAAACAGAACGTTCTGTTTCAGTATCGGAGGGTATGAATTTTCCCTGTCCCTAAGCACCTGTTAGTAATTAAACCTTTGTCTGGAACCTTTTTAATTTATGCGTAACAAGTAATTTTTATTCCCCCCTTCCCTCCCGAAATAACATTTCTTTGTTGCCCCCCTCAACTGATATTAAATGCTTCATACAGGCCGAAAATCTTTCTCACATAGCGCTTTCATTCTAAAAATATTTTAATATGAATTATTTCACCCTAATTTAGTTTAGAAAAAAGAAAACAAAACTATTTAAAGTATACATTCTGATTTCATATGCTCTTGTGGTAACTAAGTGCTGGAGGAAAACAAAACTGCGGGCAGAAAATTGAGGAACAATCACTTGCGTGCATGAACACCGAGGTTTTATTGTTTGGATAGAAATGTAATGGAAACAATATTAATATAAAAATTTTCTAGAAAAGGGACAACTGGAAGTAAATGAACGATTCTTGACTAAGTATTTTCTGAGACAGATATCATGTGCGGATTTAGATTGGGGATTTCCGGGACATACCCCATCCCAACTGAGATTTTTTTTATAGACACGATAACTTGGCAGATAATCAATTCCCTGTCTATTATACCACACCTTCCGTTTTTTGACAGTCAAGTTTTGGAGATTGTTCCTTTACAGTATATAAAAATTGCTAGTATTTTTTTACTCCAGCATGTTAGAAGTTACTTTCGACTTGGCGCCGCGTAATGTTTAGTCATGTATTACCGAGTGCATGCTCTAATGTAAAGGGCAAATCTCTAAAACTTGACAAAAGCGGAAAATATAAAATATCGAACTATTGGTATGACGGACAAGGAATTCATGTACATTTTGTTTAGTTTTATAAACTAATTCAGTCGGGGGGAGAGGCAAAGTACATGAACCAATCGTCAGGTACTTAAGATCTTGTTGAGTACTGTAACAAGAATAAAAAAAAACTTTCCCTCAAAACAGTATTGCGGCTATAAATACCCAAACTGACAAATTGAGAAATGCAATTCAAATTTAAAATAAAACCAAAAAATTCGTGAGATAATTTTATAATTAATGGAAATGTAGCCTAAACTGGTCTATGTAAAATGTCGCTTATATTTATATGTGTTTCGTGTTTATTGGGTTCAAAACCATCTCTTTTTAAATTGAATGTCCATATTTCCCTCAATTTCAGGTGCGTAAGAATTTAAATATAAACTCATGTCTTGTTCCGATTGATTGGCCCACATGGCAACATCTCGCAAACAATAATGTTCCAAACACGGCTATATAGCATGCACTTCTTATTTCACGCTGTCTCTGATGACGTCACGCAACAAGGGAGATAAGCGATTTACAATAAGTGATCCACTTGTCACACAGGTAAGTTTAAACGACGATTAGCGATGGAAATTGGTGAAAAAAATTAAATAGACCCCAGAATGTCATTCATATTGCTCCAGAGGCCATCAATAATGAATAATTATGAATTTTCACAAAAATATTATACTTGACCTTTAAAAGAGACTATTAAATTAAAAGCGTATTTTGCTTCTTTTCGAGCACTGAGGACATTGTTTATTGAACAGCCCTCGTATGTGTTGTATGTACGTTTTAGGTAAATTAACATAGTCTTATAATGGACTTTTACGAGAAGCGCTAAATTTGACAATTGATTGTTTACTTGGACATTTAAACAATCACATCTATGGAGGTACATAATTGATAATGGGAAAGAACACCTTTTTATTGGTCATGGTAATTGTGTAAGGGGCACTTATAAGCGAAGCCCTGAACTTGGGGTGGGATGGTTGTCGTTTTCGTCAAGGACAACTTATCTGTGCTTTGAAATAGATCTGTATTTTCGTTGAATTAAATGTTGAGCTATAAATTATAATACTGTAAAAGAGCTTCTGTACACTGTCCTAGTGTGAAAGTAAATCGTCAAGCGTAAAAGTCAGCGCTTCTCGTAAAATTCCTATATTCAGGCTATAGCACATATATGAAAGTTATTTAAATAACTGTTTTTAAATGTATGTAAATGTAATATATGGAGAAAACGAACAGTTTATAAGCTTTAAAAAGGTACATGAAACAAAGCAAAATTAAAGCAGAGCTAATACGGACCTCCAAAACATCAGAGGTGTGATTAAGTGCCATGGAGGAGTAAGCATTCGCTGCCAACCGTTCACACCTGCCGTGTGTCTTTGTATTGATCGGGAAATAATGGGAAAACCCGAAGACAATCAGTGTTTAAGAAGGATGTTCCAAAAGTTCGTGGACTGATGCGATAAAATTGATACATATGTATACATGTACATGTAGTTTATGCTTACAATTTTTAAGGAATGAGAAAAAAAGTTAAATAATGTTGAAATTTTAGCTTGATA